GTGGCAGGGAATGTGCTCTCCTTTGAGGACGGGAACCCAGTCAGCTTTCATCCCAATCGTTGGCATGAAGTCCAGCCCTGGAAGGGTGACCGAGTGGTTATTCTTCTTTATACACCCCGAGCCTCAAAGCTGACGCCAGAAGATTTACAAGGCCTGGAAGATTTTGGCTTCAAGTTGGAGCCCCATGCTCTAAGGGAACCTGAACCAGAGGCTCAGGAGGAGTCTACGGATCTTCTTGATGATCAAGATGAGGGCATAGAGGTGAAAAGGGCTTGGCTTGCTACGCGTGAAGGGGAAGATCAGGCCTTTGTCGAAATTGGTGACGAGGACTTGTTCAATGTTGAAAAGCAACAGCTACCAACGATGGCCCCAAGGCTAGATCCCGAAGTACGTGTACGCCTCAACAAGATGATCAAGAAGGCAGAAGTGCAGTACACTCCCAACATCGAGTCGATCCTTCAGGACCACATGGACAACAAGAAGCCTCTTGAGGTCACTCATACAGTGAGTTTGGGAGAAGTGCGAAAGGCGTTGAGCAGTTGGGCTTCCTCGGCCAAGAAGGAGTATGTCAACTTGGTTGAGAATAAGAAGGCGTTCAAGCCAATGAAGTACAAGGACCTCCCTACGGGCTGCCACGTGGTTCCGTGTAAAGGCGTGTTCACGGTGAAGCCGGATGGAGGCCCAGAGGGATTCAGAAGGAAGACACGTTTCGTGGCCTGCGGCAACTACGTCGCAGAAGGGGAGCTCACGGGTGCGCAGTTTGATGTCTATGCAGCCGGACTGGACGCGACCAGCTTAAGGACCGTTCTCGCCTACAAGACGACAAGGCCTACCTGGGGAGCAGGAGTAACCGACATTCGCCAAGCGTTTGTCTTAGCACCTTGGATTGGAGGACCAGTGGCCTTGAAGCCGCCGGCTTTGGCGGTGGAACTAGGTCTGGCGGAGGAGGACGACTACTGGTTTGTCCTACAGTCAATATATGGATTGCGGGAGTCACCCGCAGCTTGGGCTGCCTACCGAGATGGTCAACTCAAGGCGGCTAGATGGAAAGCTGAGGTTGAAGGAGCTTTGGTGGAAGTTAAGCTACAACAGCGGGCGTCGGATAACCAAGTATGGCGAATTGTACGAGCAGATGATCCTGGTGAAGATGCTCTGGGCTACCTGCTTGTGTATATCGATGACCTGATGGTTGTAAGTACAAACAACATCATGACTACCTTTTTCAAATGGCTTTCAAACATGTGGGAGTGTGATGATTTAAGCATTCTCTCAGAGGAGCAGCCTTTGAAGTTCCTTGGGATGGAGCTACATTCAGTGGACACTGGCATTGAGGTGGCCCAAGAAGGATTTATTCGGGAGCTTTTACGTTCTCACCAACATGCCGGAGGAAAGTCACGGACCCAGGGACCCAAGGAGCTGCTGATCATGTCCGCCGAGAGGCGGCTCCCGTGAATTTAGAGGGCAAGGAGCAAGTGCTCAAGGAGGCGCAAAAGAGGGTGGGAGAAATGTTGTGGCTGAGTTCAAGGTCAAGACCCGACATACAATATGCTACAGCAGTTATGTCGTCACGAGTGACAAGGTGCCCGGAGGCGGTGGTTACAATCGGCGACAGACTTTTGGACTACCTCAATGAAACGATCAGCGATAGGCTAAGGTTCGCCAATGATGGAGGTGGTGACCAAGAGCTGCGTACCTACACGGACTCAAGTTTTGCCCCCTCTTCTGGAAGGAGCCATGGAGCAATAGCCATATTCTACGGCACGTGTCCTTTGTCGTGGAGGAGTTCGCGTCAACCCCTCATCGCACTCTCCACCGCGGAGAGTGAGCTTATGGAGGGTGTGGAAGGAGCAGTGATGACCTACTCGACGAAGTGCTTACTCGAGGAGTTGGTGGGCAAGCAGTTACCTATAAGGCTTCACATTGACAACAGTGCGGCGATATCTTTGATGACTACAGCGGCTGGAAGTTGGAGGACGAGACACCTCCGCTTACGAGCGAACTGGGTTCGAGAAAAGATCAATCTGCACGATATCTACGTGAAGCACGAGCCGGGTGAAACCCAAAGAGCCGATATCGGTACAAAGCCTTTTACAAAGGACCGCTTAGCGCAACTCAAAGAGCTCTGGGACATCAGATGCAGAAAGAGTTCAAAAGGGGTCGAGATCAGGGCAGCAAACGTCAAGCCTTGGCTCACCAAGCTGCTGATGATGTTTCAGATTTGCGGAACAGCGGGCCTCAAAGAGGATATTAAGACGGAGGTTCCATGGGATCTCTACATCCTCCTGATTGTCTTGGCCGTTGCGGTGATCGGACTGTGGGAGGGACTTAAGCATTGCTGCCAACCTCGGGAAGTTCGAGTTAATGCTCTTCGAGTGAAGGCGGCCGAAAGCGAAGCAAGGCACAAATTAACAAGGAACGAGCTCAAGGAGCTACAGTGCAGCTACAGAGTCAAAGTCTGATGACGATAAATCCTCAAGATCTTGGAGAACATCAAAAGGTCAGACTGGTGGAGTTGAAAGATCTATTTGAGAAGACGATGCCAACGAATACCTCTCCGGTGCCTACAGTTCGTGAAGAGGCTACGGCGTCTACTCCGTTGGTACTCCGTTGGGATCTACCTCCTCTACTTCCTCAACGTTCAACAAGCAGCCAAAGGCTGCAAAGCAATCAACAGTGGATCAGGGTGTACAGACAGATTTGCCGGTTTTTCAGCGTGTCGAACCTCAGCCCCCTGCAACCATGAGGGTCATTGCTGGCCCCTTCCATTACGTTGAAGGACGTGATGTGATTCATGTGTTTGATAACTGCTGGGGAATGCGAAATGCTGGGAGACGGCGAACCTTGACCTTATGCCGCTGTTGTGCCGAGAACGGAGGAAACCGCATCTATTAAAAGGGTGTGGTGCAAGACTGTCGGCGTGCACCAAGGAGGAGTGCAGAAGTTGCGTTTCCTCCAGATGT